TAGAGAAGTCCAGAGAGTTGCTCATGTGTCTGAGAGCTCTTGGTATTCCCACTTGGAGATTATTCCTGATTTTCCATTTTTCTATCCATCTTTCTTATTTCAGTTTTATTTGACATCACCTTTAACATTTCCCATGCTAGTTAGGTAGGGGTATCTTGGTGCTTCTACACACATTGGTTGCTATCCTTTGGACCTGCTATGATTTTTGCAGCACACATACCAAGACAAATTCAGTGCAGGTGTCCTCTGGATGAATGAATTTCTTTTTGATGGTTTCTGCCTCATTCTTTTCTCTAAAGTTGGCACTTCATGAAGACATCTGCATTCCCATATTCATTGAAGCAATGGTCAAGATATAAACAACTTAAGTGACCACTGATGAACAAATGGAGTAAGTGATACAGATAGAGAGATGATAAATGATAGATAGACGTCACTCCCTGCAGAGAGAGATCTATCTACAGATTTGAGTACACATATATGTACAGATATGCAACTGAATAATAGCAAACCCTAAAAAAGAGCAAGATCCTGCCACATGTGGTTGAAACTAGAAGACGTAATGCTGAGTAAAATAAGACACAGACAAAGATGTTGTATGATCTCACTCATGTGGATCTTTAAGATGATAAATATGCAAAGATAGAGAACAAAACTGAGGTGGGAAATAGGAGAAATAAATCAAAGGATAGAAACTAGTACATATGTAGTATGAACAGTCTAGAGATGTAACGTAAAACCTGAGGACTACATATTTTTTAAACATGAGTAATAAAATTGTACTGAGTGTGGAATCATGCTCAATGAGTAGATTTTAACTGTTTTTGCCATAGAACAAAAGAGTGGTCAACTTTGTAACACGACGGATCTGTTCTTTCCTTGCTATAATACATATACATATATATGTTTACATATATTCCACAAAATCAAGTTGTGTAGGTTAAATACAAATAATTAAATTTATTTTAAATAATAAGTCTCTCAGATATAGTAGCCACTTACCGCCATATATTTGCACAGGGAG